CCCAATTAAACCCCAATTGGGCGAGGATGACATATGTTGAATCTATCTAATTTTTTTGGTCCCTCTTACAATATATACGATACAAAGAATTCTAATTTAAATATGTCGTCTCTTGAAAACGGAGTTGAAACAATCCGACCGAAGATTGCCAATCTTTCACCACTTGGTACGTACAGTATGTTAATTACAGTATACAACATTATATTATATTTTGAAGTTAGGTTAACCTTCATCGTTCGATTTTCACAATATGCAATATTGATATATAGGTCTCACCTCTTTAGCCTTGGCCATGTTCATATTATCAATCCAAAATATTGGTTATGTCCAAATTTCAGTGTTTATTTCTGGCTCAACCTTAATATACAGTGGTATTTCTCAATCATTGGCCAGTATATGGGAGTACCGCACCGGTAATACATTCGCCGCGACAGTTTTCTCTTCGTATGGCGGATTCTTTTTTCTTTCAGCATTTATTGAGTCGAAATCTATTTCCTTTCTTGCTACTGGTTACGATAAAGATTTTGACTATGGCCTAGGAGTCTACCTTGCCGGATGGGCCCTCTGTACGTGCATTAATATCCTTTTATACTTAATTTGCATATTTTAAATATTATAATGTAAATTTAATCGCCTACATTTTTATTACGCAGTTTCACTCATATTGTCATTAGTAACTTTTCGCTCAAACAAAAGCTTATTTGCTTTGTTCTTCTTCATGTGGCTCACCCTAATGCTTTTCTCTATCAGCAAGTTCATCCCACCTCATAATATACCTGGCAAAGATGATCTCGGAATCTTTTTTTTCCCTAAAAAAGTGAATGTGAACGGTGCGACTACATGTGGTGGAATTTTTGGCATAATTACTGCCTTAATCGCTTGGTATAATGCTTTCACCGGTCTCCTAAACAAAGAATCTTCTCACTCCTCTATTCATGCCTCAGATTTGGGCGGAAAGCACAAATAATTTCAACATTGTTTCGATTTTATTTGCTTGCTTGAAATCTCGGATCTTTTTTTACGATTTTTGGGTCTTAACAGTTTGCCAGCGTGAAATGACGAATCAACCTACATCTCAAACTCAACCAATGTAAAATGCCTTGTATTGGGTCACGTTTCTTATTAGGTTGTGGCATATAGTCTATGGTCTGACGGAAGTGATTGATTCGTATATGAATTATTTTACTTCGCAATAATAGATTATTTAACACAGTGGTAAAAATTCGCATCAGCTCATCTTATTTCGTATCTGTATCTACTATATATAAACCATGTTACCATTGAATATATCAATTAAATAAATATAATATAACGAGATTTCTATTTCGCTGACTTATAGTTCGAAGAATTTGTAGGGTGTTCATGTAATAGTGCCGCGCATCCTATATAACGTTGACCAAGTTTTTATTTGTATAAAGTAATTTTGTAAAGACTTGGATATAATCAATTATTTACGTATTTACTACATAAAATAACTTATCCTTCAACTATTTTATAAAATAATGTTTCTCAATGTAAATTATTTCTTTGTTTACTTTTCTTTTCTACTTCTTTCATATTCTCAAAACAATTTTTTTATCTAAGTTGAGTTGTAATCTTGATTTTTTAGTTGATCACAGGCACCGTATATTCTATAATGTCTTTTTCAGTTCAAAGGTCAATACTTATTCTAATGATTTTTTTTGTTGAGGAAAGTTCTATTAATTCCAGATTAGCTGTATAAAAAGACTGGATAATTATTTTTTTATAGTATTTGATGTTTTTTTCTACAGTTTTTATAAGATTTTATATTAATAGTATGATTGATTAAGTATTTAAATTTTCAAGTAAATGCAAAAATTTAATATTGAATGAGTTATATTAAATTTTTATATAACTATTTTTATTTGTTGTTTTTATTTTAGTTTTTAATTTATACATTTTTTTTTTAATAAAAAATATTTTTTAGTGTATTTTAATATAATAAACTATTTTATATTTATACTCCATTAATTAAAAAACTATTGTAGACAAGTTATTATTGAATTACTGTATATACAGTTAAGAAATATTTCTTTCTTTCTTTATATATTTTTCTCTATTGTAAAGAGATTAAAAAATTAATATATATATATAATATCCTTATCCAATTAGGATCTAATAGAGGCTTTTGAAACTTTTAAAATTTTTGAGATTTTTTTTATAGATATATAAATGAGAAAGAAATGTATTAGAAAAAGACAAACAATAATAAAGACCTTTTTAATAAAACACAGCTCAATTTAACACATTCACTTATCTTGTGCTATAATCCACATACCTCTATTTGACATTATATAATTAACAATTATGATGTAGTAACAAACTCATATATTACAACTTTACACTATATAATAATAATAACAATAACATTTTATTGTTTAAAAAATTTTTTAAATTATTATTTAAAATTAAATATTTTATTTTAACATTTTTACTCAAACATTAGCATAAATTCAATTAAATTTGCGTATATAATATAACTATAAATATTATTAATATTATTGTTTTTTAAAATTAATTTTAAAAGGATTTTTTAAATAAACTTTGCTATATAAGATAATTTGCCATGATTTTATTTGATATGTTGTATAAGATAAAAATTATTCAAATATTAAGCCTATGCTTATAATTTAATGAAGGTATGAGAATATGTACTTAAAAAAATTTTAAATTAATTATACTTTAATTAGAGATTTTTTTAACCAATAGCTTTAAATTAATTTTTCAAAATAATTAATAAAAAATTTATTAATTCCACGTAGTCTTAACTAATCATTGTCTTCTTTATAAAAAATTGTCAAACCAATACAAATTTAATCTTTGGTTTTTTTTTTTTATATTTTATATAATTTAATGAAACGTTAGAAAAATTTGTTTATTATCTTTATATTCGATATTGCATGTTATTTCTAAAAATTTTGAACATTCTGATTTAATATTCAAAAAAAAAAATTAGGTCTCATAATCGTTAATGATATTGAATAAATTGTTTTTAAATTACAAAAAAACTTAGTGCAGTATAATGAAATAAAAATAAAATAAATATTTGACAAAATGCTAATGCCATTGACGTTAAAATTAGAACAAAGAATATTTATATGAAACCGTATTATTACTATTGGCTCTGGAAATGATCAAATAATATTCCAAACAAATTAAAACAAAAAAAATAAATGAAATAAAACCTAAAAGAATAACAGAATAAGAAATCATTTTTTTGAGAAAATTATATAAATCCCTATATTCATTTCTCCTCTCATCTAGATCCATTTTATGTTGTTCATACTGATTTTCAATAATCTTTTCCTGTTTTTCGATCATTTCGTTTTGATTTTCAATTGTTTTTTCATAGATGTTTCGTTGCTTTTCACGTTCATTAAGTTCTCTTTTAAGTGCATCTCTAAGATAATTATTTACTTTCTTTAGATTCTTGTTTTGTTCGATATGAGTATCGGTTTCCCTAAGTTCTGGAAATATCTGTGTCATTCTAAAAAAAAAAAAAAAAAACTTATGTTAATTAATAAACTAATAAAATACTAAAATTAATATATAATAATTTACTTGCTCGATATTATAAGTCGACACAAGTGTTGAGTTGGTTAACGTTTATTAAAAAAAAAGGTATTTATATACAAACTACATATACTAACTAAATTTGTAAACAATGACATTCAAATTTAGAATTCCAATATTATCTAGGAAGTACAATGATACCCTTGAAATTGAATCCAATATGAATAAATAAAGTTAGTCTTTACTATGCATATCGTATCCCATATAGGTTCAA